CGATATTCGACGAAGAATTGCGCCCAATCCTCAACACAGAAGAGCCTACAATACTTATAGGGGACCTGAATGCGAAATCTCCCAACTGGTTCGATAGAGCAACCAACAACAACGTAAGACGACTTTGCGGCCCATCCCGAAAAACAGACCTAACGATTCGACGCACAATCTAATCGTCCTGATCCTGGGCGCAATAAAATTAAACTATTCGCAGTCCACAACAAAAAGAAGACAAGTTGGCCAAACTTCAGAAGAATAGTGAGCGAAAAACATCGGTAACATTCCAACAATAAACAACATCGCAGAACTAGAGGACAGCGTAACAAAACTAGAACTAGTATTATACCCAGAGTAGGGATAATACACACATCACCCGAAAAAATAAAAGAACTAATAAAGCTGACAAACGCCAAAAAGCCCCAGGACCAGATCACGTCACAAACAAAGCACTAAAAAATCTACCTATAAAAGCTATTGTTTACATTACCAACATTATAAACAACACTCATGCTAAGATTCATGCTCATTTTCCAGACAGATGAAAGGAGGCAAAAGTCATCATGATTAACCCTCTGTTTATCGGGTGTGGTATGTGAGTCTACGACAAAATAAAACTTTTGGATAATTCTCATCATTTTATATTTTTAAATTCTTCTACCTTTTCAGTACCTTCCTAGAAACTAAATACCATTCGTTTTTTTTTTACAAAACTATTTTTGAAATTTCTAAATAGCTGCTGCATGGCCGTTTGTTCTGATAGACCCCACCCGATCAAATGTGTTACAATATTTGCACTGCTTCTTAGTTGTATTTTTCTTGCAATCTTGTTTCACTTGGCAACCCTGTGCATTTTTGTGAACTGGATTATTCGCTTGTTTCGAGAAAATACATGCATTTAGCAATGATATGGCTACCGTATCATATATAACGAAGAAAGGAAAAAATGTAATTGCTGTTACCACTGTGCACGGATGTGATCGAATTGATGAAGATACTTGTGATCAAAAAACCCAGAAATAATTACTGTTTACAATTCCACAAAGAGTGGAGTAGATGTTGTAGACAGAATGATCACATCATATTATGTTTCCAGAAATACAAAACTTTGGCCAATGGTAGTAATTTATAATCTCCTTAATCTCGCAGCAATTAATGCATTGGTAATTACAAAGACAACAACCCAGATGGAGAATTTTCCAAAACCCGAAGATTATTATAAAAAAACCTATGTATGGAATTGGTACAGGAGAGTATACGACAGAGATCAGTTGACACGCATTTGACAAAAGCTGTGCGTGCTTCGGCCTTGAGACTCTCAGGCATTGAGGTCGACGTTGTACCAGAGCCCCAGCCGGGTAAGAGAGGAAATTGTTAATATTGCAAAAGATGCAAAACTTGCTTTTTTGCAAAATTTGCAAATCCTGGCTATGTATGGACATATATTGGCATAGCATAAATGAGTCTGTGACTCATTTATAAAATTAACACAATAGGATACAGCGAGGCGATGACATGCCTCCTTGGATCATACCTAGCGAACAGAAGGTTCAGGGGTCGAATAGGGGCAACCCTGTCCGAAGTCGGGACCCTGGAAGCAGGTGTGCCTCAGGGAGCTGTGATGTCGCCGTACCTGTACACCATCTATACGGCCGACACTCCAAAAGAACCAGGATCCTGCTGAGTCTTTACGCTGACGATACAGCAATAGCTGTCAGCTGGAGAAACTTAGATCATGCAGCTAACCATCTGCAGAAAGCATTGAATAGATTCCAAAGAGCGTAAAATGGAAAATAGCCTTAAACCCGGACAAAACACAGACTGTAATGTTTAGTCACAGAAGAAGTGTACCAAACCGAGAAATTACGATTGGAAACACCCCAGTAGATTGGACCAACGAGGCAAAATACCTAGGGGTGTTGCTCGACAAGAAACTGACGTTCATCCAACATATAAATCAATAAACATACAATACCAAAGAGCTGAAAAGTCAGCTCTCAACGTTCATCGGTAGAAGAAGCAAACTGAGATTTAAAACCAAAATCAGGGTTGCAAACAGCATCATCCTGCCAGTCCTATCGTATGCCTCTGCTGCATGGGGACACACCTGTCAATCTAACAGGAAAAAAATAAAGACAGCACAAAACCAAATAATTAGAGATGCCCTGAAGCTACCAAAATACGTACCTCTGAGAAATTTATACAGAGACTCAGGACAAATAAGAATCCTTCACATGCTAGACAAGAGAGCACATGAACTATTTAACAGACTAAACAACCACCCAAGCAGTATGTTAAGAGAGCTGACTAACTAAAACGAAAACATCAGGACGATGCACAGAAGACCTAAAAAGCAGATAGCCAGATATAGGGGGATCCCTAACGAATAAATAAAGAATAAGATGAATGCAGTCAAATTAGAAAACAACAACCAAAAAACTCTGTCGAGAAGGTACGCTTTTTAGGTTTCTAGGTTTTTAGGTTAGGACTCTGGCGAGAGGATATAGGTGCCAAGGCACTTAGGTAACTTCACACACGGGGTGTGTGAAGGCCCTATACACTCTGGAATGAACACCCCCATACACCCACATACCATAATAATAGGAACAAAAAGGGTAAACATTGTTGCCCGGTATGTTAAAGTCCTGAAGCTACAAGGAAGACCCCCATAACCAAAAGAAAAAAACTTAAACTTAAACTCTTTTACTAAACCTTTTTTACGTAATTAAATTCACTCGTTTTCTATATAGAAGGTCCGTCAGGCCTTCTATATACCGCAACTGCGGACTAGGCCTTAAAAAAGATTAAATGAATACTGATCTACTTGCTACATCCGAGCACTGAGGTCATGTGCGGTATTATATATGGGCTTGGTGGCCGGAGCCTTCTCGGGCGACCAGACGGCGAGGAGAACAAAAATTTATTTTGCCAAATCGGCGGCTGGTGACCGAGCACACACTCCTTTCCGGACATGGAGTCGCCAGCTTAGACTCATGCCACACTGACATAAGGCGCTTTTGGCAAACTTGCATGTATCTTGAAAAACACCACCATTCCTGTAAAGTTAAAGAAAAAGGTGTATAACACATGCATACTACCAGTTTGTACCTACGGCTTGGAGACAGTAGCCCTTACCAAAAAATCTGCTAAAAAATTAGAAAATAACGCAAAGGTCAATTAAACGAATCATTCTTAGAATATCACTGAGAAACAAGATAAGAAACATCAAGATAATACTTAGAATGAAGATTAGTGATATTGTGGAAGAATTACAAAAATGGCAAAATGACAAAAAAGGCGCTGTGCAGGTCACGTAGACTCGATATAATGACAACAGTGGACACCAAGAATTCTAAAATGGAAACCAAGGACTACAACAAGAAGAATGGCAAGACAAAAAAGTGGCAGGCAAAAAGATTGGCGCAATATAGAGAAAGATGGAAGCCATTGGGAGAGACCTACATTCAGGAGTGGATGGAAAATGGTTGACAAAGACAGAAAAACTGGGGACAGAAATTGCTGGGTTGGGAATAGGGTAGGCAACACAAACCGGAACGTTTGTGAACGGCTACTCTTGGTTTGTTTGGAGAGCTGGATCGTAAGTAAGTAAATAACATACAACTTCAGACGTTGGGGTCACATAAAAATTTAAATTAAAATCATCTAGATCTTTCAATAGAGCTTACATTGAGGTTAAACTAGTTGCTTAGTCAAAGGTCTTTTAAGTAGAAGAGTAGTAGTAGAGTGGTAGAAAACAAGAGAACCAGTTTCTCGAAATCTTTGTATAGCATTGGATCTCGTTCTTTACAAAACGCCAAAGCATTTCTTCCATAAATCGAATTGAACGCACATATTCCTCATAGCCATTTCCTTCATTGGAGGTTCCAAAACAACTGAAGATGACTCCCCTCAACTGAGGAGGAAATGGACACCTAAAAAAAGAACCAAAACGATACCTAAGCCATGGGCAAGGACGTCGAATAAAATAAGGTTACCATTATTCAATGCAACCTCCAACACAAAAAGGTGGCAACGGCGTCACTATGTCGCCGCCTTGATAAAACGCAGGATGCAATAGCACTAATCCAAGAACATTGGATAAATAAGACCAAAATAACTGGTCTTAGGAGCCTAAACGGTCAAATTTTCCGCTTACCAAGCAATCAACAACCGAGAACAGTAATATTTGTTCCCAAAAAAATCAAAGCCTCCCCCATGGCGCAGTTTTGCACCTCAGACGTAACTGCGGTTAAAGTGAAGTGCCCATGGGGAAAGGGCAAAAATTAAGAGTTGATACCAGCATCAGTCTACCTACCCTCATATGCAGCCACCCTACCACCAACAAGGGAAATGGAAGATCTGGTAGACCATTGTCTCAGTCAGAAAGTAGAACTTATTATCGGCTGCGATTCGAACTCTCACACTTAGGCTGGGGCAGCAAAGACAACAACGCTCGAGGTAAGTCCCTTTATGACTATATTATTATAAAAGATTTGTATATCTTAAATAAGGCACCGAACCTAGCTTAATTAATGTTCGTAGCCAAACAGTCATAGATATTAGGCTGGCAACAGCTGAAATATCGAATAAGATTCAGAACTGGCAGGTATAGGATAATATATTCTATGTCTGACCACCGCTGCTAACCTATAATAATAGTCTGGAAAAAAGCCTTATCAAATCGCGCGACCCTAGGAGGACGGATGTAGAACTCTACAACCGACTCTAAGAAGATGCTCTGCGGAATGAAAAGGCTTCAACCCAGTAACTAATATAGAATTGGAAAGGTATACCGTATCTATCCATCCAAACAAAATAAGCTATGCTTATAAAAAATCCTGTCCAATAAGGAGGTCCAGGAAAGTTGCAAAACCAACTCTTGGTGGTGCACTGAATTGGAACACTTTTAAAAGATAGCAAGAACAGCTTTTATTAGAGCGAAACGCACCAACCTCAAAGGGGATTGGGATTCTTATCAATCAAATCTCAGATAGTTTAAAAAAATGTCTGCAGACAAAGACAAAGAGCAGTTTGGAGAACCTTCTGTGAGGAAATCGAAGATTTCCAGCAGGCTTCCAGGCTACAAAACGCTCTCAAAGGACCCACATCGGCATGTCGGTATACTAACGAAGGAAGATGGGAACAAAATTTCCAACCTTCGCGAAAGTGCTGAGTTCCTGATGAAAACACACTTTCCCGATTCTAGTGGTCTCACAGCACCAAACCGGATGGAAGAAACAATCATACCCTCAACAAACGACTGGCATCTCGCCAGAACAATCATTAATGAGAAAAAGGTAAAATGAGCCATATCGTGCTTCACCCTTTCAAATCACCAGGGCCTGACGGCATATATCGCAGCCTACTACGGTGGGGACTGGATATCCTTCTGCCGCACCTCGTGGAAATATTCAGAGCTTCTTTGGTTCTGAGATATATTCCTAAGAAGTGGACAGAGGTACGTGTGCTTCATACCAAAACCAGTGTAGGATGACTACACCCTACCAAAGGCTTTCCGACCAATTAGCCTAACATCCTTTCTGTTGAAAACGATGGAGAGGCTATGCGAGAGGTATATAAGGATGAAAGTTATGGTTCATAACCCACTTCACCCAAATCAACATGCATATACTTCGGGAAGATCTACCGATTCTGCACTGCATCATGTAGTGGGCAAGAATGAAAGATCGCTGGATAATAAAGAATCCACCCTAGGTTTATTCATAGACATTGAAGGAGCATTTGATGAAACCACATTCCCAACTATCACCCAACAGCTCAACATTAGGAATGTTCCCCTGGCCATAAGCAAATGGA